AGTGACTAACCCTATTCTATCTGCTGAAGTGGATACTGTTCCTCCCGGCAAAGGTGGCAAATCGAAAAACGCGTTTTTTGAGTCTGATGACATCTTGAACTGCTCTGAAAACCGATGTTTATCGATAACAAGAAATAAAAACAAAACAAGTGCGACAAGACCTTAACTGACACTGCAGTACTACTGGAAGGATGACGAATTGGTGAAAAAATGAAAATGATGCAAACCGGCAGAGGTGAGTATTCTGTTTACGTAGTTATCCAGTGCTAGAAAACAGTCTAGTGATATGCCATAAACGCAATGCACGCGATCGGTCGTACTCAAGTCGTCAACAATGACCTCATCGTCCAGCAGTACCCGAAAAGGAGACTCTTCTCCTTTCCTTTTGCATGCATTCACAATAGTTTCAACGAAATCATCCAGAGAAATGCTTTCCCTACCCAACACTCTGTCAAAGCAACAATCCCAGAAGAATTTGCGGGGTAAAACCGTTGATAATGTAGTTGTAGGTGAAAAGTTGACCGATAGTGAAGAAAAAACCAAAGAAAAACGTCGAACAGGGCTTTAACAGGGACTCCCCCTCTGCCCTTCAGCAATGAGGGCGCCCGGTGCCGCCCACTCCGATCCCGTACCCGCCCATCCGATGTCGTTCGTCGCCCTTTCTACTGGCTTCCCAAGGTGAGTTTTTGTTCAGTTCCACTTCATATGTTTAACTATGTAGGGCTAGTGCTTCTCCCCACCCCACTAGCGTCGAAATGTTTAGAACCCTGCTGAGACCGTTGCTTTAACCCTTTGACGACAATGCGGATTTGCACGTAGCGTGCTCGTGGGACCACGCCTCTTTTTGGCGCGCCCAACTCTCGCTCAACATTGGGCAAAATTGTCCCTAAAAGCAGTTTTCTATCTGTTTTTGACTTTGGCAATATACAAAATATAACTACAGATTTGAGCTTTCATATTACACATTGTTGGGAAACGAATTGAACGTTTGGAAGGCTAACTCGGATTTCAAAGGGATGGTGGTAAAAACTCTAGAAGTTCATATGTACAATAGAATTTTTGATACAGTTCAAACCCCTCCTTGTGTCTGAAGACTATGAAAAGACGGAGAAGTCCTGATCAGTAATTAACCTTAGTCTAATAATGCAAAACCCAGTTAAAATGCCGCCGAGCTAAATGCCACACACTGAAATTTCACGTAAATTAGCTCCTATCGAACACTTCTGTTAAGCTTGCTGTACATAGATGTAATGAAGCCCACCCACCGGTGGGTGCCATTGTCCCCAAAGGGTTAAAAACCACGCCTATGCCGCGCTCTAGGAACTTTTTACTGTGAGCTCATATGTGTATGAACTCGGAGGGAGGCGAGCTGGTCAACTCCAATCAAAGATTTTAGAAAACCTGACCTTCGAAAAGTGATCGGGGAACTTTTCTGATGGAATTAACTTTGAATCTTCAAAAAGATGTGGATTCGGCGGAACATTTTCGTTATGCGCAATTAACTTTTAGCATATTCAAAAAGTGGAAGAATAAAGAACAACGGCCAAAGGATGGCTTAAAGTACGTAAGAACTCGCAATTAGTGCAGTAGTTGACCTCGATTGGGAGAATTCCAGAGGCTCTTACGCCCCTACCTCGAACACATAATCACGTTAAATTTTATTTCTCAGCGCTCACTCGGTTCTATTTTTTTCAGCATCACGGCGCATTATTTAACACCTTGGGAAATAGTCCAGCGAGACTCAATGGTCGCCTTATATGGAAAACTGGAGAGATATCACAATCTCAAGTAAACTATTTCACAGATATGTTGACTGCGAATTTTCTTTCCACTCCTTTTACCATACCTGTATTATTTTGTAGAGGGGCAGCTCTACAAACATACAAACAGGAGAGGGTTGAAAAGTATGGGACGCGAATGTGTCCGCTTGCTGTCAATGAGCCGCAGAGTCTTTGAGAGCTTTGCAGAGTGTGAGGAGATCCATAAGTTGTTTGGCCCAAAGTTTATCTGAACTCTCGTTACGAAGCTTACTTCGCATTGACCCATAATCAAGAGACTGCCCAAGGATGATGTCTCCGAAGTTGGGGATCCGCAGAGCAACTCGAAAAGCGATAGACTCCCTCTTATATTCTTCGGAACACCTCCGCTGCTCTCAGACTCAACTACACATCCCTGGGATCGCAACAAGTGAAGGTCGAGGAAGGAGAATTTAGGGCAATTCGGCTGTGAGATAGTCACCTATAAGCAAAAAATGGGTGGTCGCATCGCTTCTTAATCTCAGGGGTCGTGCCATCAATTCCGGTTCACTAAACCCTGGGAACGTAACCACTACATTCCCACAGTTACCGTCTTCATCTCTGCTCTATCTTAATTCGTATTTATAGAATTTCAGCAAAGCTGATGGCTTATTTTTTACTGTGGATCCAGGGTCAAGCGTGCGTTGAGGAATCCTCGACATGTCACAGGGGGGGGGTCGTATTGGCCCGCTGGGGAGAGAGATCGGGCCCGATTGATACAGTAGGATCATCGTCGGAGGACAAACATTAAGGATCGAATCGATACCAGGCCAGAGTATTTCCAATAACAATTGATTCCGTCCACACAAAATCTTCGTGATTTAGAGGTGTCCGCTTAGCAATTCTTAGTGACTTTAGTGTTTCACACACAAGTCAAAGGATCCGAAATTCGTTTTTCTAGGGATATTTTATCTTTTCAAGTAGGTCCTCAAATCCAACGAGATGTGAAGCACACGGCGCATCCCAGAGTGGGCCCAGTTGGTTGCGCGCGCTTCAGCTACGGCTATCTTGATAAAGAATCTCAATTCAGGAAAAATCAAGAGGATTCTGAAAGGGGTCTATGGGTTATAAAATTACGATTAAGGTAGTTACAGCAGGGTGGTGGAACAAGACTACGCAGAAGCGGCGCAGAAGCTAGTGAACATAGAACCTAAAAGATTGGAGAGCACTTAAACAGGTAGTAAATTCTAGGGAAGAGAAAAGCACGAGGATTTTGAATCTGCTCCTACTTCAGTATGTAATCGCTCCTGCAAGGAGCTATAGTCGTTGGGATAGTGCTAATGTAGCGAAAAAGTACCTTTCGGCGGTACTCGGGCAAAAATCCTCAACGTGGCCATTTTTTAAATAGTGAACGTATTTAGCAGTTTCAGGAACCATTGGAAATTCTTTAGTTTTTGTCTTTCGCCGTAGTAACTTTTGCGAGACCTGGCAAAGGAAGCAAGGTTATGGCGTGCGGAAAGTGTTTGACAACTCGCGTCGTCATTGATTTGGCCTCGTTATTGAACACAAAACAACACCCACCAAACCACAATCCAAACAACAAAAACAAAACACCCCCAAAACCAAACACAAAAAACAACACACAAAAAAAAACCCCAACACCCAAAACACAACCCACCAAAACCACACACCAACACACACACACAAACAAACCACACCACCACCCCCCCCCCACACACCCCCCAACCACACACAAACAAAAAACACAAAAAACAAAAAAAAAAAAAAAAAAAAAAAAAAAAAAAAAAAAAAAAAAAAAAAAAAAAAAAAAAAAAAAAAAAAAAAAAAAAAAAAAAAAAAAAAAAAAAAAAAAAAAAAAAAAAAAAAAAAAAAAAAAAAAAAAAAAAAAAAAAAAAAAAAAAAAAAAAAAAAAAAAAAAAAAACCACCCCCACCAAGGAGGACGCAAAATTAAATTTCGTATAATCACTATCATAAATTTTGGGTTAAAAATATTGTATAGAAAAAGAGCTACTTTACAAAATTCCAACTATGTGAAGATTAGCCAAATCCGTCAATATTTTGAAGATAGTCTAATACCTAAATGAATATTTGTTACCGAATTTCATAGTAAGAATAAGCTGCTCCACAGGGCTCAACGCCAAGATAGCAGCCACAGTCTGGCCGATGAAGTGAGACGCTATAGAAAGACTTCTTACTCGACATAGAAGAAAGGGACGTGACTTTGAGAACCTGCTCTGTGTATTACAGAAACTTGGTTAAGTCTTAGCGAAAGGGATATAAAAATTACAAGAAGATAGATGAATTGTCGTATAATGAAATGTTTGTGACCAGTTGTAAACAACACCAACCTTCGCCCTGCTACACCGAAGTTTTTGCTCGTTTCTCGTTATAGTTTTTGCAGGAACTCATCAATAATGAAATACTCTTGAATTATTTCTTTGATGTACTTATCTCAAACGAATTTTGGTGGACGGTGGCGGCTGGTATTGCTGTGTATTAGTAATTGGGAGAGAATTGAACATCTTTTTCCAGTTGGTATAGTATGTCGGAGTTTGGGTGTGGGTTGTGAAGATTTGTGTTGATGAGTATCGGCGGGAGGGGGGAGGTTTGTATTTTCATAATTTTATCGGAGTGCCTCGCTTTAGATATGGTAGTTGTATAGGATACGAAAAACAGCAGAAAGTGACTCCGTCTAAAAAGTCCTTGTCTGAAACGAAGCCACTGTTTCGCAAGCAGCGATTGCCAGCACGATTGGGTTTGTTTATCATGCGAGAATGGTTCTAAAATCTTATAATCCTATGATAATTCAAAATGTGTAGAAAATGCACATAAAAACAAATCTAAATCCACTTTGCGGACATGAGGCCGGTACAGTAACCATTGGGCCTCCGATCGACAACCAAGCAGCCTTTGTGTCTCGTATTCGTGTTGAGCTTGATGCTGCTCAACAACCTTAGTTACTCCGCTCAGAAAATCGTTTAGGAGATAGAATGAAGACTTGAGAATTTGGAGAGGCTCAGGAGGTAAATATTTCATCTCACGGCCACTTCGGCCAACCATTCTTCCCTTGTAAGCAGACAGTCTTTTGGAAAATTAGCTCTTGAAAAAGTCCTCATTTACTGCGATAGTAGAAAGTTCGCACAACATTCAAATGTGCAGTTTACTAGGTCACAGGATCGTGCTTAAATTGGCTGGACTGGATGGAGTTGAGATCAGGAAGTGGATATCCAAAAAGCTTGAAGTCGTGGTAGAATATGCGAACAATAAGTTCCATGAGGTAAGGGCTGGTGCGGAGGCGATCTTCCAGCATCACTCTCGCTTGCGATGTGACTGTGCTGTGAGCAGTTCGACCTGAGCGCAGAGATTTTGCAATGTAGTCGATGGACGATTCTGAGACCTGCAACGAGCTGGTAGGAGATGACCACCTGGTAGATAATGATTCTAGAAACATAAAAAAAGTTCTTCAGAAATGAGCTTTGCATTGAAAAATATAGATTGTGCTGCTCAAATAACTAAATGCCAGCGTGTATCATTAGTGATGAATATATCGCTTTTCCTACCCATTGTGCATATTGGCTGCTTTTCAACATTTGAGCAAATCCTCCCTTCATTTCCCCCCTCAAAAAGGGGGAGTGTCCGGACGAGTTGTCTGAACTTGCTTGCTTCCATGGCTTCACTAACCCACGCGTATTTGAATTAGCCGCTACGTCGTAATCCACGTTGCGTGTCATGGGGTGTGCGCGAGGTATCTCGTCCATTAGCTCACATTAGCCGTCATCAGCTCACTTTTAAGGCCCTAGCGCCATTGTCGCGCACTTTCGAGCCGCGACAACGGCACAACTGTGATACTCGCGGGCTACTCCATCCTACCCACAGAACAGGTTTTCAGATACGAGCTCATCTGGGGTCCTTTGTGCAAAACGAGTCATGTACATGTGAAAGCATGGCCTGCCGATGGGTCAACGCCGTTGCTAATGGCTGAAAGAAGTATTTTGCTGGGGGAACGGGTCGGAAGATTCTGCCGGCCGGACCGCCGCCGACCTGCACTTTAGCACGCTGCAGCAAGCCAACTGCGCAGGGTGTAGAGTCTCGCAGTTTTGGAATGAATCACCAAATCCGTGATCTGAGGTCGATATTTGGCTTACGGTTGCCACCCCCCCCCCTCAGCTGCCTACTTTATCGCCATTGGAAACTTATGGCTATTGATTTTTATTTCAGCTCAAATTTATTCCTGGGAAGAAATGGATTTCTCCTATGGGAAAAAAAAAAACAATGTGCCTACCTTACGGTCTCTCAGAACGTGAAAAATGCGTGTGAGATCCTGCAGCAGCTCTGAGTTCGCAAAAGTTGAATATCGAATGAATTTGTAGCTCCCATAATATTTATTCAAGTTGCAGCGCCTTAATTGCAACGCTTTCATTCTTTTCAAAAGGTACCGTCCATATCCAAGAGTTGGGGTAGGCGTGTCACCGGCAGCAGCCGCACTTGATAGATGTCGCGCGGATAAGCTGCTTCCAACATACATCGCTGGATATCAACAAAGCATGCTGGCAACAGCTTATCCACGCAACTTCTATGAAGTGCGGCAGCAGCCACGTCACTTCCCGTTGGCACGCCTACCCTAACTTCTAAAAATAGTCTTGTACTGAACGTAGAATGAATTTGGATTTTGAATCTACAGTAATTTCTAGCTTGATCTGCGGATCCAAAAATCGCTTTTGTCATCTTCATTCACGCGTTCATCTTTGCTGGACTTTAAGAGTTCTTTCACCTTTTGTGGCTAGTTGTGACTCCGACCGCAAACAAGCATGCAGAAGGTCAGAGGGATTTGTAAACAGCACCGCACCCCTTCCATGTTCGAGGGATGCGCAAAGGTGCGCAAAGGGAAGCAACAGACTTGCCAGTTCGCCACTATGAGAAACATGGTGTACGGGTAAGGCTGCAGACATCCTTTTGGCTTCCTTTTTTCAAAAGACAGAGAACAGTTTAAATGAATTTCTTCCATCACCTTTGCTTTAAAGGAGGAATTCACGATTAGAATGAAGGTCGAAGAAAGGGAAACTGACCTAGTTGAGGGACCCACGGACCTCCTGAGGGTGCGAACTGACGCGCAATTCGCATGGAAAAATTTGACCTCGGCGACCTATCATGCCTCAAAGCTGGCGGGTCCGGCGATCTCCGCCCACCGATCATCTGATCACTCGCCGTAGTTCAATACGTGGCGAGTGATTAGATAGCTGAGAGAGCGTAGTGTTGAAGAGGGCACAGCGATGAGAGTCGCATCAATGCTCGAATCAACGGGCAAGGAAGGGGTACCATTTCTCGGGTTCTGGGCCGTTTCTCATGGTTTTTCTTTCGTGTACCACTCACCATCCCTAGGTTAATTTGAAATGGGTTGCTTTTTCATCGTGAATTCGTCCTTTAAATGTGAAACACCGCGCTGTTCACCCCAGCCGAGTTTCTTTGGAGGAGAAAAGGACCGCTGGTTCTCTTTATCAAAACAAGGAGATACATAATATGCTGCGCATCATCTTCTTGTCGCACTAATGTCTGTCATCACTGACTTATAAATTCTGTTGCTCGCTTCGGAGGAAAATGAAGGGCATTACTTTAAAAGGGATGAGGGATAGAGAGGGCAATAGCGGGTAGCAGTTTTTGGAATGCAGTGCGCGTGTGGCTTCTGTTTGGGATCATAAAGAAGCTTTTTTTTAGGAATCGCAGTGGACAGTGGATGAACCTCTTGGTGTCCTATAGGTGAATGCAAGTTCTTCCAATTTTGTGACTTGTTTATGAAATATTGGCAACTTTTATTACTCCCTACGCACAGCACCATTCACGTCAGATGCGATAAGCTTTCGAGTGGCAATTAAAAATTCTCATCCCTTCAGCACTAATAAAAAGGCGAGAGCTCAAATGATTGCCATTAAGTTAGGATTTCTATGAACTGTGAATTAGGATTTCTATGAGCTTGAAGAATGTCTAAGTTAGATGATGAAGATCCAGTTTGGGGTTGGCTCCCTCTTCCTGCCATACACCCTACCAGAAGTACCTCTGAATGATCGAGTGAGTGTCCCGAGCGCTTTTTATTTTTTTCGTCAAATCAGGGGAACACAATGTTGGCGCCCTGACGATTTCACATCATATTCTCTCGGTTTTATATTATAATAGAATGCAGCGCTACGATTCTGGAGGGGGGGGGGGGAAAAAATAGATGCCTGTATCTATTTGTGGTGGTTGCTTGATCATATTCGTCGTCTTTTAGCAAGCATTTGCTAGATAGACGATCCAGCTCTGGGTATCAAAGATCTGTTGAGCTACACTGCGCACGCGGATGGATGAATATGTTGTCGTTGACTTACTGAATAAGTGCTGTAGAAACACGTCATGTTGCTGCCGCACCCATAGCACTCCTTGCCGACCCTGAAAGGGATCGTAGCAGTCACGTTCTAGAAAGCAGCATCTTGAAAGGAAAGGACTCCAGGTCGCCATGGTCTTTCAAGAAGGGATGTACACTCCTATACATATGCCTTCGAAGGCTGATCTCAAATCTACCTCCCTGTCTGCTTAACGATTTTCTGAACGGAGTTATGAAGCAGAAACAGCGCAACGGTAGTGGCCGGGATTCACAGTCAAGACGTCCTCAGATCGACTCCTTGTTATATTTTCTGTCTTGCTTTTTTGACAGAAACAGCTGAACAGAAAACAGCCTACTTAACTGTATTTCTGAAGAAAGCAACAGTAAATAAGGGGCCGATCCTACGACGTTTTGACTGTGAGTCCCGACCACTACCGTTGCGCTGTTTTGCTTCATAACTCCGTTCAGAGAATCGTTTAGCAGATTTGGAAGGTAGATTTGAGATCAGCGTTCAAGGCACATCTGGGCATATACTTCTAAATGGCTATGGCATGGCGACTGGGAGCCTTTCCTTGTTAGTCGCTTAGCCCTGCTAAACTACATGTATGGCTTGTCCTTGTTTTCCGTTGTCGAAAGACCTGCTTTCATTTTTATCCCCTTGTACTATGATTATTGCTGAAGTGCATTCAAAATGTAGATGAAGTTGGCCAAAGGAATGCGCTAACGTTGACACTCACAAGGGAGGTCTTTCAGGACATGGAGCGCTTTTTCGAAATGGTTTTCTGCATGTTGTAGGGCTCATGCGAGGAACACAGAACCATGATCCATTTTTCCTGAACGCCCCAGGAATGTCAAAACAGTTGGTCCAGAGTTCGATCCCCGGTGATGACTAATTTTTGCAATTTATGTTGGCGCCTCCAAATTGCCGCAAAACACGACAATGACATCTATTCTCGACGATGGCGCCATTTGGCGGCAATCTGGGGCGCCAAACTATATTGCAAAAATTAGTCATCACCGGGGATCGAACTCTGGACCATTTCTTCACCACTGTTTTGACATTCCTGGAGGCGTTCAGGAAAAATGGATCATGGTTCTGTGTTCCTCGCATGAGCCTCTACAACATGCAGAAAACCATTTCGAAAAAGCGCTCCATGTCCTGAAAGACCTTCCTTGTTAGACAAAAGACGTGCTCATATGTCGTTTAGAAGGACGAATTCACC